CCCCAAAACCCCAAAACCCCAAAACCCCAAAACCCCAAAACCCCTCTCATAATCCCAAATATTGAAAAATTTCAACTATATTTACTCCCTAAACTTATTCTGCACCACAAAGCTCAGTTGTCCAATATACTTCTTTCCAACAGGATGGTCATCCAAAACCTCTAATCATTCCTTTGCATACTTGACTACCTGCTCATCTTGTCCAAAAATAGCACTAGCCAAGACGCTTAGCCCTCCTTTATGTCTTGGAAACAGGTATAAAAATCTGATGATCCTATCATGATCAGCAGGAGTCAGGAACTCTTTAAAGTCCATAAAGATACTACGAAGGAGTTCTTCCGACATCGAGGCACTGAAGCGAAGCCTTCTCACATTCTCCTCTAGCTTAAACATGCTGATGCCACTTCTGACCTCATAACCCATGAAATTCTGGATGTTTTTATAAATCCTGAACAAACTGGTTTTCTTAAATAGTGAAATCCTCCTTGAATTCTGATCTGCAAATTCCTGGAGCACCTTATTATGAGGATAATCGGAGACAGGATCGGATGATAGAGCTAAATCCAACAGCGTCTGTAGGTATGAAGCAAAATAATCCTTAATTTCATAATCATAAATAGCCTTGGTCTTGATTCTGTTAATAAGCCTACGGATAAAGTTTAAGTCACATTCGTGATGGCTTTCATCATCAGGATGTATAAAGTCATCTTCTTCTCCTTCTCTGGAAATTTTTATTTTAGAGGACTCTATTTCACACGCAAGGTCATAATAAGCAGTCTTTGTCTCGAACAGCACATTGTTAGTTCCAGCTATATATCCTGGTATCTGTAGGAGGTTTATACTATTCAGGGTAATAAATGGCAGTGCTCTGTATAGCAAACCTATCATTGGTGGAGTAAACATTTCCAATCATGTATAAACATACTCTGACATGACTTTTGAAGAATGCTTATTTCCTATAAACATTACTCTTTTCTCAAGCAATATGTTATTAAATATCAGCATGACTCTTTCTCCAAATTTTAGCACGAAAGACTTAAGATTAGTTCAATTTGAAAGCTTATCTCAGTCCAATGCTTTAGGTAGCTTAACTCTAACACTTGAGCCATTCCATTCAATATTCTTTGAATAATAGAAAGAGCTGAGCTTAGATCGATTTTTATCATCACAGTAAGCACGAATGTCATTATACACCCTCTTTTCAAAGAAGTTTGCTTTATTAAATCGGCTAATATTTCATTCTTCATTAATTCTCTGGTATAGCTCACCCATTATGGCCTCTGCTTTCTCTTCACTGTCAGATTGATCTTCTCCAACCCTGAATGCATCTAGGTAATCGTTTAGAGCTCTATCAAGAAGACCATTAAAGGCTTCTACGTATCGATACTTGCTAGCAATGCTCATAGCTTTAACAATACTTCCTCTGGCGTAGCTAAGATCTCTCTTATTTCTTAGAACACTGACGAAGAAGTAAGTGTCATTATTGGAGTTAATGCTCTCAACATAATCTGATATCTCGCCTTGCTTCTCTCTGAATCTATCCTTACTACAGAATTTACAAGAGTTCAAAACGAGGACTTACTGAGAATCGGGACTATCAGATAGAGACCTCACTGGTGATTTTTGAAGAGTGATACCTGTATGCTTTAACAGATTAATCTTAGGCTCTCTGAAGTTCCTATTAGACAAAATCTTAATATCCTATAAATGATTACTTATCCTCACACTGAGATTATTCGCATCTTTTTCTTCCTCAACATTTTCCTTCTGGTTTCTTCTCAGTATAAAAGTTGTAATGTCATGTTCTGTATTATGAGCGCCATCAGGGATCATCATTGGAGCAATGTCTTCAGGGTCAACTCCTTCCAACTCTCTAGGGTACTGTAATCTGATTATATTTCCACTAGAAATATCAAACTCTGCTAAGATAACCGCATCAATCATTTTTATTATTATTTCAATTCAAAAATTTCTAATTGGGGTTTTGGGGTTTTGGGGTTTTGGGGTTTTGGGG